AGGCCCAAGGCGCTCCGTGAAGAATGGTAAAGTCACGGTGCCATTGGTGCGCTTGATGGCTGGGACATTGATGGCGCCATTGATGGTTCCCACATTGCGGTCACCATCACGAAGATCCACCAATAGACAGCTGCCAGCTTGAAGAAGCTTTGCAACCTCACCTCAGGCATCTTAAGCCAGAAACATCCAAAATGTCCCGAGATCCCTTCATGACCTTTACAGACATGTTATCCTAGCTCAAGAATGCTCAACTGGCTTCAAATGTAGGTCCTCCAAGCCTTCCGCCGGATTGGCTGCAGCAAAGTCACAAGGCTCAAGAACCTCAACACCAGGCTTCCCCGCAGGTGCCATGGGCGCCACATTGACCATGGTAGTCTGTGCAAATCCGTGAACTCGTGGCAATTGGCCCGGGCATGCTGGATAGACTGCATTCGAACGCACCTGAACGACTGGCTGCGGCTTCACAACCACCCTCACCTGCTGAACCCCACCACTGCTCAGCCAAGGGCCTGGAGTCATCCTCATTGCTGCCACATACGACAGTGGTGCCCCGGTCTGCACAAAATGCTGAGCCGACTGGGCCGGAACAAACACTCGAGGGCATTGCAGAGCCATCTGGCGCGGTGGCATCAACATGCTTTGTTCGTAGAACTTGTCTGGGCCAGATATGCTGCGCGCAATGTTGGATGAACCAAGTTCTCACAAAACCGCAAGCCTGCTATAATGTCAAGCATGCAACATCACTATGTGGTCCAAGGAAGGGCCAACATCTGCTTGCTTCTTCAGTAACCCTATATGCTTTTTTCCGTTGCCTGCAAACCCCACAATCCATTCACAAACGGTTCCAAACTGTTGGCCCATTCCTTTCGGCTCTCCCCGCTCCTTCTTCCCCCCTGTCCGCCCATGGTCACTCTGGTCATTTGGATCTGTGCGGTCCAAGCGGCCACAGGGAGGCCGTGGGAGGTCATCTTCGCCTGCAACGCACTCAGGAGCCGCTCCGTGGTGATGCCCTGCATCTCGGCCTCTTCAGAGCCGGTCCGGTCCGGAACCACTGGCTGCAGAAAGCGTGCTGCTGAGCTGCTAAGCTAAACAGGTGCGGGCCAAAAGGATAGGAGGCAAAAAGGTGGAAAGCGACTGCATTGTCCTAACATGAACCCCTAGGACAGCACAGTGGCAAAGGAATCCAATTCAGCCACAGCTGAGAATTGCTCCAAGGATACGAATGGCCACGTTAGCGAACGGTTCCCTGTCAACACCAAAAGAGATTGTTATCGAACCACTGGACACCGTCAGACATTGATGTCTTACTGAGACCCAAGTGACTCATCCGGTTCCAGACCAACGGCGCGGGTCCACGCCGAAAGAAGCAGAGAGAAACAGTGGCCATGGTACCATTTCAGACAAAGCATGCAGCAGATGAATGGTTCCTCTTTGGGGTTTGATGGATGGCCCAATCCCGAATTTGGATGCACACATCAATCCAAAGAGGGCTAAGATGGGCTAGGATTGATAGGCAGTGCCATGCAATGTTGGAAACCCCAACCGCCCAACCTCCTCTGCCTGCAGATCTTGGTGTTGTTGTTGCTTGTGCTTCACAAATGAAACATCTTGCACCTCTGAACCCGCATGTTTCAGACGGACCGTGTCCTCCAAAATCGACGTTCCGTGTTTCATCCATCTGCTTCGACTGCTTCGACTTGGCACCTGCGACATCCACGTCGGAACTTCACTCCCTATCCGCCTGCATGACATCTGCTGAGGTCGCCTCGACGAAGAAACAAGTGGCCACGGACGAAGAGGATGCTGCGTCTCCAAAGGTTTTTCTCCTAAAGTGTCTGTGTCTCTGCTCCAAGAAACTAAAGGACCCGTTAGCTAAAGGCATACTAAAGCTGAACAAATCCGTCCATCTTCTATCCTCCAGTCCTTCCCACACAAACCATCCAAGTCTCTGCTGGGCACCTGAAGAGGAACTTCACATCCACCTCGTGTTCAGCTTCGATCGATCAACGCCGGTCCTAGCTCCCTCGGTCCCAAGTTACGCCTTGGACGTTCGCTCGTTCGCTTGAAACGGTTCGGACCGGCGTGGAGACGGAGGAAACGATCGTCCCGGGGCTCGAAGCAAAAACCGATCCGACGTCGGACATCTCCGAACACAGGAGGTCCGAGATCGTTTTCGGAAGATGTTCGACCATGTCTCGGTTCGTCCTGAATTCACCGATCGCTCAAACGTCCAAAGATCAACCTCCAAATCGCGCACAAGGTCAAAACCTCTCTCCTAAACACCCAGTATGAGTCGTGTATGACTCTGTATGTATTCCCATATGTGAAGCCTCCTATGAACCTCCAAGCTACCGTCTCCAAACCGAAACAACTTGGAAAAATGGATAGTGGAAAAGTTCGTCAGACCGAGTGGTCCTCCCACACCTCGCTTCGTTTCCGCCCACCTCCGAGTGGTTGGCCGAATCGGCGCGAAACTGCAGGGTCATGTCGTCGTACAGGAGGCCGTGCCCCAAAACCTCTGCGATGCCTTCCTGCAGGGCGCGATGCCTTCCATCTCGGACACGACGCCTTCACGGAGCATTTGCATCACTACGAACGGAGCAATAAAGCAATGAGAAACAAGAATAAAAAATAGTAGCAAAGGACGCTCCTGGAGGCGCGGAGCAGGGTGTTCTTTTGTTTTTTGTTACGTTACGTTACGTAAGAATGCTCCGTTCGTAGCGATGCCAGTTTCGCCCCGTTCGTACCGTCCGAACGCTCCTAGTAGTAAGGCCAGGAGCCCCGTTCGTAGCTTCTTACATGCTGTTTCATCCTGTTTCATCATGGTTCGTCTATCTTCGATTTACCTGACAGGTTGCCCTCCCCAAAGCATGCTAACATGAAAAACCAGCTTCCCCTTACAGGCCATCCGCCCTTTATCCTGGACATCCTTGGCCCCTGCAGCTCCTGGAAGGACAGCATGCCCTTTTGTTGCATCTCCTGCATCGGTGTGGGTCTATCGATCGGGGGGTCCATCGTCTTCAGGTGAAACGTGGTGCCTGTAACTGGTCCTCGGATCATTCCAGGTATGTTCCGATGTTACTAGAAAGCTTTATTGTTACTAGTCAAAGAGGCAGCAAAAACCAGCCAGATTGCCCCGAAGCGCCCGTTGTTCGCGGAGCGTGGCGCGAAAGAACAACGACGACCGTTTCGACCAACGACGACAAGGGGAATCCGCGTCTTCGCGGTCCGCGTCCGTTGGAAGAAGCTTTTGGGATCGAAGGAGCTTCGTAGAAAACCACCAATGAAAGGGTTAAGAAGAAAGGTCCAACCTAGCAAGGAAAAAAAAGACTGATCCTTGCAGGTAAGGAGTCTTAACCTCTGGAAGTGGACATCCGGTCGTGGCAGCAACTCCGGGACAAAGCGCGCGGGTCCGAAGCGATCGGGTGAAACACCGGGACGAAGCGGTCCTGGATGGTGGCTGCATCACAGCAATAGACGGATGGATCATAGGTCAGGGTGAAGTGGCCCTCCATGAGCATGGGATCACTGCCCCCACCTGCGAGGCCGGGGAGCGATTTTGTTGAATGCATGTTCCAACTCTCGGCCAGCCACCCAGGTGGCTCGGTCACGACCGGGGGGGGGGCCTTTTTTGGGATTCCAATTACCATCGATATAATATATTGCTTGAATAGCCGAATAGCCGAAGAACCCCGTTGTTTTACTAAGCACTTAACACTACAACGCCAGATCGGTTCCCAGCTCTAAACATGGGTTTACCTCACGGAGAAGTCGCTCCGTCCGTTGCGCTCCTCGCCTTCATAGGTGGATTCGTAGACCAATTGTTGCGAGAGCTCCTCGCCTCGGCCGTCCGCGTGAAACGGGGCGACTCCGTCGGCTTCGGGCGAGGTCGGAGTGGATGGTCGGTGCGTGTCGGGGGGAGCTCCGGTGCTCCACGTCGAACACGGAGCGGTCCGTGGATGGCACCGAGCCCTTTGTCAGTTCGTGGATGGAAGGGAAGAGCTGTGTCTGTCGGGAACTCCGAACTCCGGAATCCATCAAAAAGGGTTTTCTGTGCGTCAGAAGAATGCCTGCACAGGGTTCATGCAGACCCTCCGAACTCCGGGTGTGTTTCACCTGGACGCCTCGTGTTTTTCGGTGATGACCGGGGTGTCCCAAAACCCACCAGGCGAACGGAATGGGACTGGGGGACCGAAGAGTCATGGATTGGGACCGGATGTCGAGTGATTGGGACCCGAAGAGTCTTGATGAGGCAAACGCTGCCACAGAAAACTCAAACTTATCCGAACTTGCCAGAAAAAAGAAAAAAAACAACTCAAAACCACTTGAGACATTGAAGAGCAGCTCGGTTTAGAGCGCCCTCCATCTTCGGAGGAAAGGGAAACCTTATGACACCCTTCACATGGACTCTTTCAAAATCACCCTCTCAAATCACATGGCCCCAAGAGTTGAAGCCGCATAATGGCATAACTTGTGGTGATATTCTCCACTGCGATTTAGAATGCTCAAAAAAGGAACCAACGAGGCCACCCAGTCGCATGTCCCAACCAGGCCAAGTGGCGTTTACGTTGCAGGAGCACATTGGAAGTCGCGTGGCAGCGACCTGTGCCACCCGGAAGAAGAGTCCGTTGTTTCGCAAGGACCAAAAGGAACGGGAATTCGTTGAGAGTTCGTTGAGTGTCCTTGAAAATTGAAAGGAAGTCCTTGAGCATCAATTCAGGACAAGAAGGAAACCACCTTCCGTTGTTCGTTGGCTCTGGGAATCGGTAGCATCTGACTTCGTGTCACGTCTCTTCGTTCAAACGAACACTTCGTGTCATGCAGTTCCGGTGTCGAAAGCAAGCAAGCTCACCGTCAGTGCCGCACCTCCCTCGCAGTCGGCATAAGATTCGATAAATAGGGCCAAGAATGGCCAAATCCTCACCATCCTTGGGATGTCATGCTTCTCATGCTTGTCTTGGCGGTGGCGGGACCTCGCCATGTCTGGTGACTTTTCTTGCTGGAACGTGCCGGTCGCAGCTTTTGTACGTAACAGGTGGGAGTCCATTTTCTTGAGAATCCGGAACCGGAGGAACCCAGATTTTAGTGGCATTCAATGTCTCCAAAACTCACACAAAAATGCTCATGTTCTCCAACCATCTGCTGCTTGTGTTAGCATTAACACATAGTAGCAACAAGAAGCTACGAACGGGGCGAAACTGGCCTTACTACGAACGGAGCGTTCGGACGCTGCGAACAGGGGCGAGCTCCTGGCATCGCGACTCGAACGGAGCATTCTTGCTTCGTCCAAGAAGTTACCAGTAGCGCCGACGGAGGGAGGCCGACGGAGTGGCGCCTGTTGAGTGCGTCCGGTGTTTTCACTCGGCCTTCGACCGAGAAGGGGTGAAGGTAGAAGAGCACGCCCCGTTCGTAGCGAACCTTGTTACTAGTAGTAAGAATGCTCCGTTCGTAGCGATGCCAGTCCGTTCGTAGTAAGGCCAGGAGCCCCTAGTAGCTTCTTGTTGCTACCATATTGGACCTTGCTTTTCATGTTTGTTGTTTCTACTAGCGATGGCCTCCACCACTAGATCTTCTAGCAATCGCCTCACTCACAGCAACCAATCACGGTCTTCGACGCCTCGACGCGAAGAAGAACAACTCGCCATGGACGATCCGTCCCGTTCGTCACACCAAGCGTCGTGGGTAAGGAAGCGGTGCTGTTGGGAAAGTGATGAGCTTCAAAAAGCTTGAGCTGAAACCACACGGACCAGGATTGAGGCCAGAGAATCTGGTGTTCAATCCATACATTCGCATCTTGCGCGACAGTCGGCACTGTCGGACCACGGTGTTCCACTAGCGGTCTTCCACTGCCATGGTGTGTTCTTCGGCGTCTTTTTTTTCGCGGGGAGCCGATTTGAGACTGTGAAACGTTGCTAAAGGCTCAAGAACTGCTCCTGGACCTGAGAAGAGTCACCATGGGAATCTGATTCACCCCATGTAACGACTGCGCCGTTTGCCACTACGGCCACAAACGCAAATGATAGCCGGCTCGCGCAGGAAGAACTTCTGTCAGATTCACCCAACTCCACCACACCCAACTCCACCACTCTGGTGATCTTCAGTCGTTAATAACAGTTCCAACACGTTTCAAGATATCCCAAGACATGGAGTCCAATTCGGCCAAGGGGATGACAACTGAATCTGCAGGAAGGGGTTGCTCACCTTGCCGCATTTGCCTGATAATGTTGCTCAGCTTCTCCTTGGTGTCCAAATAGTTGTGCTTTTCTCAATCAACACTGCACAACAAAAACCGGGAAAAACAAATTCTAGTATCTTTAAACAGCTTGCCATTGCCCATGGCTCTTACATTGGAGGCCATCGCTTCTAGGTTCCATCTCTTTTAGGTTGGAGGCCATCGCTTCTGGGTTGGAGGCCATCACTCTTAGGTTGGAGGCCATCGCTATTAGGTTGCAGGCCATTGCTTCTAGGTTGGAGGCCATTTTAGGTTGCAGGCCATCGCCCTTAGGTTGGAGGCCATCGCTTTTGGTTCCTGCGTTCCTTAAAGTTGTTTTCTTAGAGTATGATGTTTACCAAAACTTTTGGAAAAAAGAGCAAAAGGTTTTCTATCACAGGCTCTGACAACGGATCATCACATGTTCCAATCACACATCAGGTGCCTGGGGTGTCCAGTGCCAATCCACACGTACATGGACTCACCGTCTTCAAGCAAGTACACCATCTTGGGTCAATTGATTCACTGGTCGGGTTCAACATCTCTGGCAACAGGATCTGGCGACATTTTTGTGGGGATATTGTGCGTTCGCCCAGCATTGTATTGAAAAACGCCGCTGGATCTGCCAACGCATGCGCATCCAGAGATGGTCTGCAGATCTGATAAGATAATGCCGTTGGTGGCGCGGAAGGCTGCCGAATTCCACACGCCCATGATTAGGAGAACATCAGACTGTGGATGCATGTTGCCAGCCTGCACCACCTGAGGATATCATTGGAAAAAAACATGGTGCAAGGACACAAAACACACGTGAATGGATCCGATGGTGAATGTATATGTTTGCATGTAGCTATCATATTATCATATGCTATCATCACATATCACATAGCATTTAAAACCCGCAATTCGTGAACACTTCATACAAAAACCCTCGCAAATTCAGCCGATCCAAAGTGCAGTCCAAATCCAGGCCTGGCAAAACGAGGCCAGTTTGTGCGACCCCTCAGTCTGCTTGGTCTTCAGCAACTGGTCCAACGTTTGACGCCACCGCCTGCCGCGTCGACCACACCCCAACGAGCGGCGCGCCCACCCGAACGTCGGACACCGATGTCGAACCGGACCCTCGAACGATCACTGACTCTCGGTGTGAGACACCGAGACCGAAACACGGTACGGTACCGAAACGACCGTGTCTGTCGGAACCAAAACACGGTACGGTCTGTCTGATGACACGGCTCGAAGAGACGGACTCCCCAAGAGCCCCGGGCGTGTCGAATCGCGGCCTCCGAGAGCCGAAGAGGTCGGCATCGAGCTGAACAGTCAGCGAGCGAGAACAGACCCGAAGAGGTGCAACTGAGTTTCCATTCGTCTGGGATTCCATTTGGCTCAGTTGCACATAAAAGTGGATCGAACCCCCATCAGCAGTTGGAGTTTGGCATCAAAAAATGTGAGATGTCCAAAGAGGTGATGTCCAAAGAGGTTGCAAACTGTCCATAAAATTGTCCCAGCAAGAGACCTCAAACAATGTGCAGAAGATTACGATGACCCGCCAGGAAATGATTGTGCAGTCGTCTTGGTGGTGGTGGTGGTGGTGGTGGTGGTGGTGGTGGTGGTGGTGGTGGTATCTTGGTGGTAGTGTAGTTGTGGCAATGCAATCTGCACTGTGAGGTTAAGAGCTGCACCTGTCACGAAACCTGCTCTTCAATGAAGACTAAATGGAGGGTCTGTGTGTGTGTGTGTGTTTGTGTGTATATAAAGGGGGTCAGCAAAAATTCCTTAAGCGATGTAAGTGCATCAAAAGATGTTCCACAAAGTTTTGCGAAGATTTCCGGGCTCCACGAATGGCCCCGGGTTCCACACATGTCCCGGGCCTTCCACGAAGTCACTTGGTGAAACCCGCCCACAACTGATCCAAACAATTCAATTAATCATCAATTTGTTTTCTTACTCCAGCGGCCGAAACAACAAACTCCAGCAAGCAGACCTGCAGTGCACCCACTGAAACCACCTCCACCTACAAACGCTCCAGCCTGTGGTGGTCATGGTGGAGCTGGGTGGCAGTGATGAGGTCGCCAAGGTTGGAACGCCGCGGTGATGGGAAGAATCCCCAGGTGATATGATGCCTGGGCCGACTCCGTGCGTCCCGTGTGTCCCAGTCTTGGCTCGCTCAAAAAGGACGGAGGACGACAAGTATGGACCAGCGACCCGGGTGCATGGGAAGGGACCTGAACACGAACGGGAGACTTGTTGGCAGCTCACTCTCTGTACGAACACGAACACAACTGGCATGCATCGGCTGAGGGCTTGGTTCTCTAAACTTCGATGGCATTATAACATAGATGAAGGAGATGATATGCACAGCGCTTCCCTCCTAAGCCTTTTCGCGAGGTCTGCGAGCGTCTCCAGCGCACCCAAAGTGGCCTGTGATGCCAGCCCATTTTGGCCCAGCTGTGTCCACTTCGGAGTGGCAGAAGCTGTGCTAGGGCACAACCCGGGGCACGCGGATCTGTTGAACACTTCGCAGACAGCGCTTCTCCATTCATTGAACCTGCCAAGCTGCATGGTGCTCGTTGCCAACCCACATCACCACAAAGGGCCCAGAAAGGAAT